CCCCAAAACCCCAAAACCCCAAAACCCCAAAACCCCTTTAAAAATTTAGGAATTGAAATAGAGCAATTTATGCTAAATCTTGAGATTTACAGACTTGCTGTAGACATCGCCCGAGGCTTTCTTTGACTCAGAGATTCCCAAATAGGCTCATTTATGTGAGAATGACTTGTTTGGGGGCCTAGAGCTTACCCGCTTTTTGTTTGGCTTGATTTTGATTTGTTTAAGTTGAGTTAAAAAGGGGCTCTGAGTATCGTTTTCGCAGAACTTTGAGGTATGCCTTCTATGTAAAGGATGAATCTGATAGTTTTCATCCAACATTTGGGAGTTTTTCTTAATTTCTCCTTGTGAAGGATTTGAACGCAATGCTACAATGTTTCTGTCCCTACAATTTGCTTTATAACGAAGGAGCTTCTTCTTTTCGCGGATGAAGTCACCTATCATTAACTGTTCAGTGGTAGGCTTTGAAATTAATCCCATTTTATTTTGAAAAGATTCTTGATACAGCTGATTCTTGTAAGCCCTAAAGTTTACGAATGAAATTACCTTCTCTACTGGCTCTCGGTACAGTACCAGCTTTTATTAGCCAACTTAGGGTCGCTCATCTGGTCGATTAACAAATTAATGTTATTCTGCAGCTTTCAGTACTTAATAGGAGCCCCAAAAGTAAAGGTGTCCTTATGCTTCTTTAGTATTTGCTTCGATTTGGCTTCCATTTCTCGAGCATTCATGCGCTTCTCAGCACGAGAGGCAGACTTGTTGGGGGCATAAGGAGTTAGTTTGCTATTCTGGATTTCCTCTTGAATCCTCTTCTTCAGTAGTTTCTTCTGTAGTATCCCTGAATCCTGGTTCACTCGAATGTTACACTGGGTCTTCGAGTCAATAGACTTAAGGAGTAGACTAGTCTGCTGCTTAAATGACTGCTGGATTAGCTTCTTCTTGTTAATTTTCTGTGCAGATTTGAGCTTTGACTCGATAGTTTTAAACTTGCCTCTGCGGGCATAAGCAGTGCTTTGGTTGTTCCTAGGACTCCCGAGGACATAGCTGTCAAAGTCCTCAATCTCCTTGTTGTCACAGTATGTACTAGTCTTCTTCCCATTCTGCTTAGTTGAAGACTGCGACAGGTTGTACCCAGTATTACCTATAGTGATTAGAGGAGATAAGAAATACTTCGTATAGGAAAATCCTTGGTAACGCTACATGAATTCATCCTCGATCGTTTAGAGATCAATGGGTACTTTTGAGGCTCATCAATGTCACTTTCGAAATATTTCTCCTTTTTCTGTTTTGTAGAAATCATTTTATCCTATTTTGAGTTAGCAAAAGGAACTTACCCAGAACTCCTTCTTTTTCTCGATTCGTTTAGCTTCTGAAATTTGAGCAAAATGCTTGAGGTACTCTCCAAATCCGATTTTATTTGTTAATCTCAGGATTTCTCTTCGATACTTCGGCTACAAAAATTGGGTTATTAAGGATGACACTATCATATGAGTTGATGATGGATTAAGTTCGTCAGATAATTCCTAAGAAAGTAGACTAAACACCCAAATTCTAGTATTAAACTATCTGATTTCGAGAATGGTTGAAGTAAGGACTTACATTCAAGAATCATCTGGTCTGTACTACATTGATGGACATATTTAAAGCTGCTAATGTCTTGATGGTGAGCACTCATGATTATTTCTGCAAAATTAAATTTTAATCAATCAAATTCTCAACGAATATGTGCTCTTCAGGGGTTTTGGGGTTTTGGGGTTTTGGGGTTTTGGGG